TGGAACTTTGCAGCCATTGAAATCCCAAATTTGCCCCAAATGTCCAAAAAACAATGAGCTAAAACCGTGTTCAATGTGCAGCATGATTACATCAGACTGATGTATGAAGTGTCACAGGCTGCAAAGGTCTTTTTGTCCAGCTGAAGTTAAAGCTCCGTTCAGCAACAGTAACACTGAAATAGTAACAATCTTTTTTTTTACATACATGACAATATTACAATCGTTCCTAAGTAGAAAAAAATAGAAATCTTCAGACGCACTTACAATACAATGATTACAAACAATCTGTGGACAGACATGCCATTCTCCACACCACATCTAGAGTGCATCACTCTACAAAGTAAATATACAATCATCACATCATACAAGCACAATATGCCCAAAAATGAAATAACAGGATTGGCCCGTAGGTAGAAACCAGAGTGCACAAATTATTTAAAAAAGTAAACATTTGAATGCAGAAGCCGTGAGAGGCACATGAGATAAAACATTCTGGTGATCACCTCTGATCTAAAGTGTTGAAGAATAGGTTGAAAAAAGGCTTTTGCCAGCATTATCTTTTTAATTCCATAATTTTGTTGTCATCGGTGGAAAGGATAATCTTTACAAGTTCCTTTTTTAAACATTTTTCTGTGAAAATGGGTGAATTATTATAACTTCTTGTAATACTCATTTTGACCACAAGAGGCTGATTTGCACCAGTAGCCCTTGGTCTGTCATGCCTGTCTTTAATGTATTTTAATCGGCGCTAATCTGCTGTTAAGGAAAGCCCGAATGCTTGAGTCCTATTTAGAACATGGGGTAGAGCAGCGGTTCCCAAACTTTTTAGGCCATGCACCCTCTTCTACATCCCGACCGGGTTCACGCACCCCCAATCCCCCACACCTTAAAAAAAAGCAACAGAACATAGAAATCGGACCAATGAGAGAACAGTTTGCTCGCGCGTGGCGTTTGTTTACAAGATTTAGTCCGCTGTTAAATGTTGCAGTGTGAACACAAACCGAACAAAGGGGCAACTGCAACATTGTATCATATTAATCCCTGAATCGGAACAAAGCAAACGAACTGAAGGTGTGAAAACGCCCTGAAACACTGCAACAAAGTTTCAATAACTTTCAGTTACACAAGGCGACACTTTGAAAGAGCAATAAGGATGGCGAGGACACACGCACAGGCTCAGAGGCATCACATTTAATTTACAATTAACCATACATAGAATGAGACTGCAGTTGTTTTGTAACTCCTCCAATTTCGATATAAAAAAAATGTAAGGGGCTTTTGACTTGCACTGGCATGCTTGGTGTTCAGGTGGTGACGTAAATAAGAGGGCTTCAGACAGCTGTTAGCCAGAACCTCACTGCACACCACGCACTGTGGCTTTGGGCAATCTGCATTGCCAATCCAAGTGAAGCCCAGACCAGATACTTTTCATCATTCTTCCTCTTTCTTTTCCCAGTCTGATGCTCACTCTCGTTTCCTCTTTTTTCACCTTGACTCCGCGATGGGCCTATGTGCTCCCCATTTGTCTGTGCTATCCCTTCCTCCTTTTCGGTCTCCTCCGTCTCATCTTCCTCTGACTCCCGTTCGATTTCTTCTCCCGGTCTCTCCGTTTCTCTCGCCTCCGATTCCTCTCTCTCTCTCTCTGTCCCTCTCCTCTTTTATGACTGATAGCTTCAGATGTCCCACCTGACAGTTTCCCCGATTTCAGCCAGTTTATCATATTTGCATGAATGTTGCTGAATGAATGAAGTTAGCTGTTAGCTGACGTTAGCTGCACAAGCTAGGCTAACTAGTGTACATAAGACAGTCTGACGGCAGGAGCTGAAGTGCATTTATTTATTAAATTGTAAGTTTTTAATTTTAAATTAGAATTTTACAAAGGGAATTTTTATAATTCATGTTTTTATTTTGTGAAAATTGTATTTAATATTAATTATTACACCATTAGACCACCATTACATTTTTCCTCTCATGCACCCCCTAGAGGCAGGTGCGCGCACCACACTTTGGGAATCCCTGGGGTAGAGGGACACTTCAGCCTCTGAGTATTACAACAACATCACTCGCTAAAATACTGAAATATCTCAACTATTGGATGGTTTGTCTTTAAAATATGCTTCTGGCATTTGTGTTCCCCTCAGGATGGATTGTTTTAACTTTGGTGATCCTCTGACTTTTCATCCAGCACCATCATCAAGTCAAAATGTGAATTCTTCCAGAACTAAATTCCTGCAGCACTATTGTCAGCTTGTAGTATTTCTGTATTGGATGGAAACACACATCTATTAACATTTTCTTTTGCAGATTTTCTGCTGATTCTTGACACATTCCTCTACATTTTAAATGCATCCTGGAAATGTTTCCTCGTGAGGTATTATAAGTTAATATGATTTTGTCCTGAACACCAGAGTTAATAGTTCATTATGCAGCTGTCAGTCTGGTAAGACTACATTCATAGTGTATGCATTCTATAGTTAACCACGTTTAATGATATTTTATGGTGGAAAATGCATCATTAAACGTCTCTCTGGTGTGTTTTTGAGCACGAAGCCAGCAGCATATACGTAGATTTGGCATATTTAGTATTAAAATGGGGAGCGATGACGGACTGACACCGTGATGGCATCCATTACTCCGAGCTATCAGCGTGTACCTACCTGACTCCATTCACCCTCCACATCTCCGTCTCCATCCGTCTCTCTGCCTCCTCCGACAGCCCTCACTTATGGATTTCAGCTTGTCAAAGAAGCACCTCAATGCATCTCCGGTGTTGGAGGAACAGACAGACAGAGGGCGGAGTATGAAATAAGATGAGGCTCCAATGATCCATGTGGGGAAATGGGGTCGCTGCAGCAACAGAAGGGAAATAGATAAAGGAAGATAAAATATTACGGACTACAGAGCCAGCAGTTGGTATTGAACATAAACATTTCCCCTTGTCAGGAAGTAAAAATGTATGAGGAGTTATGAAGAAGTGCAAACAGCAGGAGAACACAGTGAGACAAAAAAAAGTACCTTTTGAATGTATGGTAAAAAAGTCAACATAAAAATGGAGTGTGTATGATATTGAATGAGGGAAGAATTACAAGTGAGTCATGGTTCAGGGGCTAGCAGGGTGCAGAGCTACTGTTTGCTCTTCTCTGAAACTCTCTGGGGAGGAATACTAGACCCAACACTTCAAATAGTGGGGAAGACAAGCCCAGTGGTCAGGAAATAATGGTGGTATTGTACGTTTCTGCAAAACGAGGATACGGTGAAGTACAACGAGGGACCAAGGAGCAAGTACACATGTGTGATGACTGTTGTGTGTTCTATGTTTTTAGTGTATAGCTTTTTTATGGTGATTTTAATGTTGCTGTAAAGCTCTCTATAATAAAATGTATTATTATTATTATCATATCGAGCGAGCGTTATTGAAAGTTAGTTTAATAACTAGTATAGTGCATGCCAGAACGTCCACTGAAGATGGGCGGGAAGAGTGGTGGTCAAACAAACACCAGACTATCACCCAGGAGACCGCTGTTTGTGTCCCGTGTGAAACCAAAAGTAAATGTTGACTTCAACGCCCTGCTACATAACGCTACATAAAAAGGTCCAGGTTAGTTATTTATTTACGCTAGTTACATTGTTACGGTTGTTATGCAATGTTGCTATGCTACACTGTTGCGCCACATCATTGTGCCAAGTTGTCATGCCACATTGTTACGCTACGTTGTTCCTTTATTAACACAAACAATGCACTGTTTTCTAACCGTAACCAGTAGTTTTGTTGCATAAACATAACCGTTTCACAATGTCCACCATGTGGCGTTGTGCGTTTCTGCAATCGTGACACGAGGCTGATCTAAAACGTGCTTATCAAACGCATTTTGTTCAGAAACGTTGACGTTCAACGAATTCCATGGTTTGCAGTAATGGACAATGCCAATATTATTTTCTGGGGACTTGGTTGGAAGACAAAATAAGGTAACGCAGGAAAGAATTCAGACAAATATGGGCAATAAAACGTAATGCATTGCAACTTGCGTGCAGCCTTTCTTGAGGAGGTTCTTACCTCCACGTAGACACCAACGACGTTACATCAACCATCGCCGGAAAAACCGCTGCTGCTGCTGCGTTGGACATGTTGAGGAAGTCCCAGATACATAGGAAAACTAAGCTTGTTTCACCGAGCCGTACTCAATGTATCTAGCAAGTCACACGTTGCCTGAATTAATCTGGTTTACTATGAACCCAAAATCAACAGATTTTGCTATGATTTAAGTGCAATAAATACATAATGATGCCGATATGTAAAACGTCTGCTTTGTCAAGTCTGTCTGCAATACCACAAGCAAACAACTTTTAAAATGCTTCTTTTCTGAATGGAGTTCGTATCAAACATTGTAGCTGCATTGTCTTTGCATTGCCGCTTCATGTAATCATGCGGTGCGGATATCCAGCTTTCTGTTTTTATGTGAACACACGTTAGTGTGATAAGGTCTATAGCCTCACGTTAAGTATTCTTACTTTGTGGTAAAAGCCATTTGAGCTAATGTAGAGTATCTGAGCACTTCACCTCACCTGCAACCTGTTACTCATGCACACCGTACAGAGCCTGGCTTCACCTCACCGTGTATTTTACCTTAAATCCAAATCGATGGCTGTGACATCATGCAGCTTCTGCCCATTCACTTTGAGGTATCGACTCATTTCTCTGATGAAATATGGGCTAAATTTAGAGCAGAGAGCTTCAGCCTCTGCCGGTGTCAGAGACACATATGATGCCTGTAGCTCTCTCCCTCCTCCTCCTCCTCCTCCTCTTCTTGCTCTCTCCTTTCATTCTCTCCTCCTGCTTTTCTCTGCCATGCTCCTGAAATTGGTTGAACATGGCAGTGCACGTCTTGGTTCGATGTCCAGTTTGCACACAAAAATGGAGGAAGCTGTCAATCCTCTCTAATCTCTCTGTCTCTAATCTCTCTCTCTCTCTCTCTCTCTCTCTCTCTTTCTCTCTCTCTCTCACACACACACACACATTAACACACACATAAGAGGAGAGGGGGGTTAGCCAAGCCTCTTTATCTCTTTCATGCTTGCACACCCTCAAACACCCGCAGGCTCTACCTCTCTCCCTCTCTCCCTCCCTCCCCCTCTCTCTCTCTCCACCTCTCTCTCTCTCTCTCTCACACACACACACACACACACACACACACACACATAGAGTCGGTAGTTGCAGCAGCAGCGAGCAGAGGAAGCCAGGGCGAGCGAGCCTCCGCCACGATCACAGAGAGCGGCTCATCGCGTATAGCCGAGCCGTCATGAGCCGGTCACCGGGAGTCGGCAGCACCGGGGAGGAGGAGGAGGCTGGGTAGGAGGGAGAGAGGAGGAGAGAAAGAGAGAGAACGGCTTTTGTTGTAATTAAATGTCTCTCGCTCTCTGTCTGTATCATGCTGTACTTCCAGCTGGTGATCATGGCCGGGACCGTCATGCTGGCCTACTACTTCGAGTACACCGACACCTTCAGCGTGCACGTGCAGGGCTTTTTCTGCTACGACACGGCGTACACCAAGCCCTACCTGGGACCGGAGGACAGCAGCGCCGTCCCGCCCGTCCTGCTGTACGCCCTGGTGGCCGGGCTGCCCACGCTGCTGGTGAGTGCACTCCTCGTCAGAGAACTTCACCCAATCAGACCCACGCTGCTCCACTGATGGACGCTCATCAGACATGTAACATGCATCTCATGTCATTCATAGCAGCCACATTCATTCTGCTCTCTCTTTTACCACACAATGATCATAGTGCTGACATATAATCAAAGAATAATTGATCCATTTCACGAGGTCATTTGTCATTCTGTGGTTGCAGCATTGTGATCTTTCTCTGTTGTAATTTTAGACTGAAAATCTTTTGCTTTTGGAATGTTGGTGGGATTCATAAGATATTTATAGATCTCACGTTGGCTTCTAGGATCTTCTGTGATGACACATTTCACAATGTTCTGATTGTGAAATCACCGCATATAGACCAAATAATTATATTCAAGATTATTGTATTATTATAAGAAACTCAAACTAGCATTTTAAATAAATATATATGTTTTTCCTCAGGGCACAGCCCCACGTAGATTACTGCTGACATTAGCTTGACGTTTGCTCCTCACTGTAATGCAACTGTCAAGAACCTAATTTAAAACGTCACCCACATCACGCCCCCGCCAGTTATTAGCTGTCATCCGACTAAATATTACCCTGAGCTCTTCTGATATTATTCTTTTTTTCTCATTAAGATAGCATCTTCTTTTGGACTAAAATGACAAGATGAAATTTCAAATGTCATAAACAGGCAGCCTTCCAATAGATAAGTGCACAATATCAGATGTGAAAGCTACTGTGTATCTGCATTGATTTAACAGGGCTGACCAATGCTCAATCTCATGACTTTAGCCGTTATCTCAGGGGGAATGTCGTGCATGATTCAGCCTCCATGTAGATGACTTGTGACTCTGGTCTCATCAGTGCCACATGGTATACTGTCCAACAGACTGCGCTGATCGTGCCATTGGTCAGTGGACGAGACCTCTAGCTGCTCTCTGAAGGAATATTGAACCTGAGTGATTCCTGTCATGATGCTTGCTTTCTTTACGTTCATGGATTATTTTTGGCCACTTGGGGGCAGCGTAACAAGCTGTAAAGGTTTACAGGGCTTCCAGACTAACTTCCTCTTACTCGTCCAGTCTTTTTGAAAGTCCATCATGGTATTAATCAGTGACACTGGCTCAGTCGGTCTCTCGCTGCCTGCACTTTCATCATAAGTGTCTTCTGGGTCGGAACGCTTTGTTTTCTCTCCCTACCCACCAGCCCCTTCCTCTCTCCTCCTCATTTAGTTTTTTGTTAAATAGTCAGCTATCGGCCGCTTCATTTTGGGAACACAGTAACAGCTAAACGGATTGTTTCGTAACGTTCTATGCCGCTACGTACGCGCGCATGACATTTAATCAATCTCAAAACCTGTGCACATTAGATAATATGAGTCCAGTGATAATGAACATCATGCACCACTTGACATTCGATCACACTCACAATAAGTTATCACATATGCAAACCGTTTTGGAGCCCTGGTTCAAGGTTTCTTTATTAGCACCCACCGCTAATGTAAATGTGTTAAACACAGTATTAACTCTACCAGTTGATGTGGTGACTGCAAACAGTTGACTATTTATACACCCAGCAGACACGGAGCTACAATAATATTAATTTATAGTCGTCCAGTATTCACTCTCTTTTAGCTCTGTTTTTGGTCTCCACCACCTCTTTAGCTGCTAAAGGCTCCACGGTGTTCTCCAGCTCATCTCTAACGGAGTACAGTGTGCAATGGCTTTACCGGAGCTGCCTGCTGCAGCGAGAACTAATTTCAATGAGAGCCGAGTTTGAAGGTGAAAGAAGAGCCACGTCTTTCACAGTTTGAGCAGTCTGTCATTTGAGCCTTTTTTGATAAATAAATGTAGACCAGTGCAGCGTTAAGACAGAGCTTCCCTGTAGATCAAAGCTCACCTTTGTGAGTGCTCCATGATGTGATTCTCAGATCACATTTGAATGGCATAGAGACTGACTTGCAGTGTGATAGCTCAGTTAGAAAGATCACATGTGAACCCTACCTGTGTATCAGTATCGATATGTCTTCAAAGCAGAGCTATCCAACATGACTTGCTTTAAATGCTACCTGATGGGATTCCTATTATTCTTACCCTGACCTTTGCTTTGCATTCTAATCACGAAATGTCAGGATCAGATTCAACCCGGACTGCAGAGAGCTCCTCACCTCACCATGAATACTCCCTGGCCCGCTGAATCAAGGACGCTAAATGACAATTCGTGGGATGAACTGAAAAAAGCATTGAATGGGATTACTTCTGCAGTGGCTGCTCTGAAGCCCGGCAGTGCAGGCTGAGCTTTCACACACAGTGACCCTGCTGCTGGGTGCATGTAGGACTGTCTGTACGCCTCTGTGTCTGTTTCAGCTGCTCGCCTGCCTGCCTGTCGACAACACACACACACACACACACACACACACAGCTGAAATCACTGCACACAGCCATCCTGGCACGTCACACTGCACACAGTCTCAAAGCATGAAATATTCTATTTAAGCAGATTTAACAGCATAAGTTTGCTTCTGTCTCCTCTGCTGCCCTGGGAGTTTGTCTTTGACGGCGCTCTGCATTTTCACTGCGTACCACTTCTTGATGTAATTAAGTCCGGATGTTGGGATTCAGACGGACAGGGTCCTGGACGTGTCATGTAGACGTGTGCAGCTTCGGTGCAACATGGGCATGGATGTGGACCAAGCTTGTGAGACACCATCTCTTCTGTTTTCCTGGGACTAACTCAGAAGAGAACAACAGAAAGTATCTTGTTAAAATGTTCTAATCAGACTGTGTGGACGTCTCTCTGCTGTTCTGGCTCATGCACGTCAACCAGCGCAGAAAGCTAAATTGCCGTGTGAAGTGGAATATAAATCAGAGGACATGCTAATTAATAATTGCTCTGAAAACAGCTGAGAACGGGGAAGCATGACAACAACAGCTCAACAGACGGATAGACGCTTCTTCAGGAAATCATATTACTGTTTGAATGGTGCAGAGCGGCCTGGCATGAACACACAGAGCCACAGATCTGTGGCCAGAGGCAGATGGTTTGTTTGTTTCATTTCTACGATGATGATAGAAATGTTGATGAAGCAGTTTACAGTATATTACATTGATTCAACGGCATGCCAGTTTACCAACCACATCATACAGTAGAATGTTGTTTGCAGCCGAGAGTCTACAGCGCAAAGCTGAAAATTCACCCGTTCGTTTCTGGCCTTGGAACCTTGAATGTCATACACCCCATCATATTCATTTTTCCCGCGACTCACAGTTTGATCACTTGGATCGGCATAGAACTCTCCCGGTTCAGTCATCAGTGTAGAAGATAAACAGTAAAGCCTGTGTTCATACAAACATTGAGGAAGACGTTAACCCTCTGAAGCCCAAGCAGTTTCACTGTTTGCTCCCGCCACATGTTTCTCTCTGTGGCCTTAAAGTCCTGCACCTCTATGGAAACAACACAACCATGAAGAGAAGCAGAGATAACTCACTCTATGCCATAAATCATAACAAATAATTTCTTTGATAATTTCTTTTACAAAAATTGGCAAACAATGGAATCTATAAATACACAACAGTTTTGTGTAACCAATGCTGGAAAAAAATGGAGGCTCTACGAGTCGTATACATTAAAGTATTTACATTCTTCTTACCTCTCCTCTGCTCTGTGTTCAGCAGGTTCAGGTTCAGTCAAAGATTCACAGCATTGTTGTCACGTGACTGTTGGTCTCAGGTCAATTAATCATGGCTTCTTAGTTGCGCTGAGGAGTTCAGAATTGAACGTTTTTTTACAGGATCTGTTTTGAGCAAAAGCTTTATTCGGGGCAAGATTTTAAATGAGACATGTAGAATAACATGTTTTTGCTGAAATATCACAATTTCAAGCTTAGTTTCGGTTGCTTTTTCAGATGAAAGTGTTTGAGAACCGTCTGAGAGAAGAAAATCTGACGATTATGAAAGTATTCAAAGCTTCTGGCTACAATGAACGGTGTAGTTTTGGCAAGTGTTTAAACAAAACAATGCGTTTAGATCCCGACGGCGGGTTTCAGGTTCCAGAGGGTTAACTAGAACTCTCAAGGTACAGTTTGGCATAAATATCCAGTTACCAAGCTTAAAAAAAGCTCATGGCTGGGTGGTACAGTGTTGAATCAGTTCTTTGAAACCGTGTTTTGTTCTCAACAATAAATAACATCAGTGTCCCAGTTCTTCAGTATAGACGGGTTTCAGTGGAACAGTTCTCAACTGAAGCCGTGTGTCTGTCTGTGAATAGAAGGAATTACATCAGAATGGAAAATCCTCCACCTGGCGATTTACGTCCATGTTTGCTACCAATGTAGAAGGTAGTGCTCCTTTTCTGTTGTGAACGTGACTTTGGTGCAGGAGAAGGGAGTTGTCACAGCACGGCTCACTACTTGCCTGTTGCTTGCTTTTTCTGTTTATTCATTCAAACAAGTCTGGCTGTTAGTGTTGCCATCTTGGCAACTTTCCTGCTATATTTAGCGTCTGCTACTTTCATTGGAAAAGAGTTGGCAACACTGGGCTGTGTTTATTGGGGTTTTATTTGATATCGCGTGAGGCCTTCACACACAAGTACATAGAATGTGAATATTACACGCAAAAAAGCCTTATAAATTCTTTCTTAACCTCAATCAGTCAATTTTCTGGAGCTTTGGCACCACAAATAACGGCATCAACCAATTGAGTTGTGTGGAAGGGACGTACTGTAAGTGTACAACAACAGGGAAGCTCTGTGGTCCGAACCAAGTCGGTGCCAGACGCTGCTCTGGTTCAGTTCGGTCCTGGTCGTTGGTCCTCTGCCTGAGCGGATCTATTGGAACCTTTTATTGAAAAAGTCTTGCTATCACTGAAAACAGCCACCCAGTGAAGCAAAGATATACTCCATATGCATTTGCAGATTTAGTTTTACTCTCAACATGGATGTCACCATTTTAGCCCCCAGTGTCATTACCAGCTTTTTTTTTTTTTTTACACTTGACACATCCT